GGATGGATGGATGGATGGATGGATGGAGGGATGGATGGATGGATGGATGGATGGAGGGAGGGATGGATGGATGGATGGAGGGGGGGTGGGTGGAGGAAGGAATGGTCCACAGTCTTGACAGAACAAGTGCAGTAACCTGATGTTGTTACCTGTGTTTCAGCTGTGTGGCCACTAGGGGAGTTGCTATCAAATGAAAACATAGTGCAGTTCTGACAGCAGTGACAGTTGTAGTTTTTAACCTGATAAAGACAGATCTGTGATTTCTCATTAAAAATCTCTCTGGGCTCAGAACCACCAACAGATCTGAGGTCTTTTTTATGGTTTTTCCAGAAGAAAATCAAAGAGTAGTGACACAGTCAGAGGTTTGGACTTAGAGATGGATATTTCTCAGTATATTTTTATCTTCATTAGACCCATGGAGGACGTCATGTGTAGATGCAGTGGGGTTGATCTGTGTCCTCTCACTGTCAGAGGGACTTCTTACCTGAGCTCTGTTTCCTTCTGGCTGTCCATCTGCCCCAGCCTGAGGCAGGAAGTCCAGACCTGTCAGGTACTGCTGGAGGTTTCTACTTAGCTCTATCTGTGCAGGCTTCACCTCCCTGTCTCTGCTGCTGCTGCTGCTGCTGCTGCTGCTGAGGGCAGACAGACGCTCAGCCAGGCTGGGACTGGAGGTCTTCTTCAGTCTGGAGAGCTCTCTGGAGATAACCTGCTGAGTGACATCGTCCTGCCACGTCAAACCTGGAGAAGAAGAAAAAACAATGAGTTCCAAGTTCACACCTCTGACTTGAACCAAAGTTATTCTGGGAGGTCGTCATCAGTGGCTTCGAAACATTTTTGGAGTTTATGGACTTTCTTGGAATAGATATTCTGTTCCGTTCTATAGCAATTTCCAGCTGAAGTAAACCCACAGGTGGCTAAACATAAGGCTGGTTGACTCTATGCTGACTGCCCAATCATCTGGTTAGCATTCACTGACAGGCTATTCACTACTCTCTGATAATAACAGATTTTCAATCCACCCCATCAGAATTTCAACAAAGAAGAGGATGCAGTGCCCACACCTGCACACCAGGTGTCACCACAAGTACACTAACACACACATGTCAGCAGTCACACTGCACTCAGATGCTGGGCCAACATCTCTGCTAATTGCTGACACATAGTTGGGATGCAGAACTCCTGGGCAGTGCCAGGACCAGATGGAGTTATCCAGGGAAAAAAAACGTGGTCTCGTTCGCAACAAGCCGAGAGGCACAGCATTCCACCGAGACGGAACGGTGGAATACCACAGATATTAATCACATCACACCACAGCCCTCATGATGATGATACAAAGTGAAGTAATTAGTCTTTAAATTCCATGTGGTGACACTGTGGACCATGAATGGAGACAATGCTGCTCCTAATGATGTGGACGTGTTTCCTTAGAAGTCTAGATGGAAAAATGTATGAATATGAGAGAATCCACTCCACACAATGTCCTGTTTGTCACCAATGGATATTCACGAGCAGCAGACCAGGGTCTGAGCAACGCAGAGCAGACGACTCCAGTCAGTGAAGGCAACATTGAGAGCAACACTGAAGGCAACAGTGAAGGAAACAGTAAAAGCAACAGTGAAGGAAACAGTGAGAGCAACAGTGAAGGAAACAGTGAGGGCAACACTGAGAGCAACAGTGAAGGCAACAGTAAGAGCAACAGTGAAGGCAACAGTGAAGCAAACAGTGAGAGCAACAGTGAAGGCAACACTGAGAGCAACAGTGAAGGCAACAGTAAGAGCAACAGTGAAGGCAACAGTGAAGCAAACACTGAGAGCAACAGTCAAGGCAGCAGTGAAGGCAACAGTGAAGGCAACACTGAAAGCAGCAGTGAAGGCAACAGTCAAGGCAGCAGTGAAGGCAACAGTGAAGGCAACAGTGAAGGCAGTCAGAGTGACCACTGTATGAGGTCACTGTATGTGGTATATTTTAAAAATTCTCTGTATTCCGAAAAAGAAGAAAAAAAACAACCATTTTGTTAAAAGAAAAAGGCGGGGGTGAGAGGGAGAGCGAGGGAGGGAGACCAAGAGGGGGAGAGAAGTGAAGCAGCTTTACTCACTTAATTAATATCTCGTCATTAACGCAACAGCTTTTAAACAAGAAAGATATTTCTGTTGTCCTGATGTCTGTTGTCTTGCAGAGGCAGATATATTGAGGTGGGGGGGGGGGGGGGGGGGGGGGGGTTTGCAGAGCATTTCATTTGATCATATTTAGTGGAAACCCTGGTTCATGGAACAGACATGGAGATTTTGTCTTTAATGTCTGTCCACTCTGACACAGTGTCAGTCCATGGTCAGACAGCTCCTGTCAATGGAGCTAATGCAAATGTCACATCGTATCATCTCACATGACTTGTGCGAGCTAGCAGAGCATCTTCCCGCCTCCTGCGCGGTCAGGAGGTCAATCGACTGCAGGTTTCTGATGCATTCACACCAGGCCTTCTGCTGCTTGACACCATTCTTTCTGATCTGGTGACATATATCAGTTCAGGGAAGGAGACTTCATCTGATACGCCTGTCAAACCCTGTTATCACAGCACACACACACAAACAAACACACACACACACTGTACTGTGTAGAGTATATAAAAACACAGGCTCCTACTGGCAGCGTGGAGACGACTTCAGCTGTGACCTGGATCAACGCCAGGACCGTTTTAACTCATGGAGGAAACAGACTCATCTTTGACTGTTGTTCTGCCAAGGTTTTACACAACCTAGGATTTATCCTGCTCTAACTGTGCTGTTAGAATAGAATATCGGGGCATTTACCTAAATGTAGCACGAGCACCGATGGACATTCAGTCTCAACTAAAAGGTATAAATAACTCAAGATTAAGACTAAAGATTTTTATAAGAAAAAGCTAAGCTAGCTACAATTTACGTTAGCCTATAACATCATTTGTCCCTGATTCTTCCAAAAACTTAATTTATAAACAAAGACAAAAGCTGCGATCACACTGCTGTAATCCAACTCCTGCGAGGCCCGTCATTTTGTTCTGCTCTTTTGCTTGTGTTGAGGCAGATACAAGTCAACGAGTCAGAGAGGAGGAAATCAAAGTCAAGTCATTATGGTTCAACTCCAAGTCACTGAGGAGAAGAATCAAGTCTAGCCAGAGATGACTTTAGTCACATCAAGTCCTGGACTAGAACCAAACCCGACCAGGGTCAGGATGCAGACCATCAGAAATAAATCAATCAAACAATTAATGTAAACTGAGGAGACGCAGGAGGAGCTGGAGTCAACCCACGGCACACACAACCTCCAGGTGGCACCAGTCCCAAACCCACCCAGACCGTCAGAACATCATGAGAACATTAACAGGTCAAGCGGCTGTGGGTGGGGGTACCTCTACCTGGACACCAGCTGGGGCTTCATCCCCCACGATAGTTGAACTGTCCTCTGACTGTGTGGACCAACATTAGAAACAGGAAATAGGAGGAAACAGAAATGACACGTCGGTTTGACAGACAGTTCAAATTCATCTGCCACAGACTTCCTGCTGTTCCTGGGTTTGAATGTGTCATAAAAACCGCAGCAGCCTGGACCGTGGTGACGCCCCGCGAACACAGCAGTGATGGACAGGCTGGAGGAGCTTGGTTACAGCTGCTTGGCTGCCATTGGCTCAGCAGCTGTTTGGAGGAGGGGCTTGTACAACGGCCAACTGAAGGCTCCATCACTGGTATATGAAATGAAGGAACACACACACACACACACGTGGAGACAAGTCCGTCTGTGTCTGAATACTAACGTTGTCTGATGTCAGGTGAGAGTGGGGGGGGCAGCTCCCCCTCACCCACAATTTTTATGTCCAAGGGTCAATTTCCACTGATGTGTGTGACGTGACGATGATAAGTGAAGAAGATAAAGAAGATGTTAAATGTGTGTGTAGGTGGCAGCCATCTTTCACAGTACAGTACTGGAGAGTGTGGCTGATGATGTCACTTGTGGTTTGTGGTCAGAGAGGAAGTGTGTTCCGAGGAGCGTCCCAATGGCTTCAGACATTTTTAAAAACAAATCCCTTCTCAGTAGTAACGAGGACAGATGTGTGTCTCCGTGTTCATCAGCCGACTGTGACTCTAATTGATTTTCAACACTTGTTCACGCCTGTTCAAAGATATTAAGCTCAGAGAAAACAGGGTCGACGTTTATGGTCACAGTCTGCATTAAAGGTGTCTACTGCCCCCCGGTGGCTCATAAAAGAATTATAGGCATTTTTTTAATGTTTTGTGAGTTTTTGGTCATGAAATCAGGTTCATGAGGTAAAACAATGTCATTGTCAAACTTCAAATCGAATGTTAGTGATTAACATCAAACACCTTTATTATCACAGCTTCTGTCCTAACACAGAACAAAATGATGACGCCACTTTTCTCTGTTACGGGAATTCTTCATACAGTGGATATTATTGATGCAAACGTGTAAATAAATACTAAAAATTATAAAGAGAGAGAGAGTCAGAAATAAAGAGGCGGCAGCCAGTACCTTTGTGAGCCAGCTTCTGTAGGAGGATCCTGAGGCGTTCCAGAGCAGACGGAGGAATATCATAGGTGTACAGGTGAGCGCCAACCAACTCCAGGCACCTTCCAAACACACCATCTGAAGAAGAAGAAGGAGAAGGGGAAAGAGAAGGGAGAGGGATGAGCGTGAGCACAGCTCAGAGTGAGGACCCTGCACACAGTACTCCAAGCCAACATTTGTAGTTCATGTGGGAGTAAAGTGGGCCACACATCTGTGGTGTTCAGCCCCCACATGGACAACTTCTTTTACTTCTGTTGACGGCTCCCTTCAGGTCTGACTTCTGTGGCTCATCCACCTCCATCTCTGTGTAGGTTCTCAGTCATCCAGCTCATCTTATCCAAAGTAGATCCATCAAGGACAACTGGCCTGGTAGGTTTCTCCGCAGACCTTTGACCTCTGTTCTCCTTTGGCTCGACCTCCATCTTGATCCGTTCTTCACCTTCTCTGTGGTTACACCAATAACGTTCCTGTCCTACTTCACTGCATCCTTTCCTCTTCTACCTGAAGAACCTAAACCCATCAGTTATTCTGACTTCACATTCATATCATTTGTACTATTTTTTAATTTATAAATGTATAGGTACATATATATGCACCTATAAATACATGAATATATATATATATATATATATATATACACATACAGTACTGAGAGATACTGATACAGAGAGAGATTATCAGTTTATTTATTAAGCAGCTTGGGTAATTATTCCTGTTGGTTGAGGACCCTGGACTCACCCGCCTACACAGGCTTCTATAATAATGTGTGACACCTACAGTGTCGTCCTCCCCCCGTGGTGTAGGGAGCTAATGGCTGACTATCTTCTCTGACAGCACCCTGATACGATAAGCAGCCATTTATGGCAGGAAGAACTTTATCTGGAACCCACCTATCAGCAGGTCTCCTGTCTCACTCAATATGGGTTGCCTAGCAACCAACACCACAGAGTCCGTATCAGCTCCATAATTCAATGGCTGGTCTGGAGCCCTGAAGGATGGTGAGTCTCAGAAACTCAGGAAAGATGAGAATAGACGTGAGGACTGGAATATCAACAACCTGCTGTGTCTCTGCAGCAAAGACAAATCCATGGATCTTATTGGCTGAACAGACAAAATCAAAGATGACCTCTGGGGATGACCTCTGGGATTCAATCAGTCATTTTCTGTGTGATCCTGTGGTCAGACCTACAGGTGTAAATCAACCCCGGTCAGGCACCGTAGATTTCTGTTAATTAGAACCAAAGACCATTGTTTTCTATTTAAATCCTGAGTGAGTTCATAATTACAGGTTCACTGAGGGATAATTACAATGATAATAATAATAATAACCCGATGCCAGATCGAGCTTTCGATTTATTTCTTCTTTTAAATGAGAAGGGGGTGTTTCCTTGACACCCCCACTCTCTGCCTTCTGCTGTGAGTGGGTTAAATGACAGCTGTGTCTGCGGGGGAGGAGGTTTTTGAATCCGAGTTATTCTAGAACATGAAGCGGCTTCACAGCTCCACGTACTCACGTCTGGATGGACTGTCTCTTTGAGACCAAGACCAGGGTTAGTCACATGACAAATCCCGCCGTGTGCATTAAGGTTGTCATCCCAGTCAGATGCTAACAACACATTATGTAAGAAATTGAGGGAGGCGGGTGAGACAACACGGAGCTGGAAAACCGTCACTTCCTTCTCTGTTGCCGGAGACAATCAGGGATAAACATGAAAGAATCATTTCATAAAGGAGTGCACAAAACCGTTGAACCAATAGTGAGGTGGCGTTGACC